CATCTTCTTGCCGTCACGCTCGCTGGCTCTCTCCTCGGGGACTTTAAACAGGACCGATTCCTCGGGTTTCTATTAGTCCTTAAAACGAGAGTGTCAGCTTACAGGTAACGTGGAGAAGACCTCCAAGGATCTTCTCTGACATTACATTACTGGGCAGAGGATCGGCAATGGATATGTAACGAGCATTTTATAGCTTGCCTTGTAGTTTAGCTAAAAAAAACCTTTCAAGGAAAGGTTAGAAGAGCTGATTTCTATCACATACAAATACATGAACCACCGGGGGAAGTTTTCAGTTACATTATCTGAGGTCCTGCCTGACAGCTGGCTAGCTGAACAGCACAGAACCCTGCTCCAAGAGCACGGTTCTCTGTGACGTCACCCGATTCTTTCCTAGTCATGACTGCAAATAACTGTTGGAGAGATACATCTAACCGCCTTTGATGCCAACTCAGTTATTTGAAAGGGCTAATGCTACTGTTGTTTGAGGCGTGGTAATCTTTGTATGTATGTACATATCATGCATAGACAGTTCTCTGGCTTTGACTCGTTAGAAGCACTTAGATGTTTTTAAGACAGTTTAATTTTTGAGAATTTTTATAGCCAATAATACGTATTGAAACTGAGACCAGTTCATTGTTACAGACCTGTAAATATTTTGGTATGAATTATACATGTACATAAAAGATTCCTTTAAAATTAGTGTTTCTGCTTTGCCTTTTCAGGGTGAATTGTTAAATCCTTGCCGCTGCGATGGGTCAGTACGATACACACATCAGCTTTGCCTGTTAAAATGGATAAGTGAAAAAGGGTCATGGACCTGTGAACTCTGCTGTTACAGATACCACGTTATAGCAATTAAAATGAAGAAGCCTTGCCAGGTAATTTGTTTGTTTGTTTATTTAAAAAAATATGTCTTTCCAGTTATTTTTCAAAAGAAAATGGTACTTGTGCTTATTTCAAGGTTTTTGGAAAATACAGGGGAAGAGCCTACATGCTTTACCAGTTAGTACTTGCACCCACTTGAAGTTAGTGTTTAAGACCAGTTACACATTAAAACGTGCAGTTATTTGATTCTCTTAGGTTCTTCTAGCTTTTGGCTTGACATAGAAATGGTCTTCAGAGATTGTTAAATTCTGTTATTAGATAAGTCATACTAAGATGTGACAGAATCTGGAGCTCCGTGATTCACTTTCTAAACTTTAAACATGTCTATACTTTTTTAGAGACTCAGTCAAAGGTCGATTTCATTCATTCTTCAAGGCTGGGGTCCAGGAAAGAGGGGCAAAGAAAACTTCTGTTGCCTGTGTATTCACCTACTGTAGAAAAGTAAAAGGAGATGACTTTTCAGTCTTGGCAGAATCTGGAGTAGCAGAATGCTCTTTCAGTTTCGTCCACCAATAGCTCTTTCCGAAGCTGAAATGTGCAGTAGCATTTTTCACAGCTCCCTTTTAACAGCATCACAACATGCAGCTGCAAGTTAGAATATTACAGTGGTAGCATGTTCAGGGAGAGGGAAGGGGAAACTCAAAGCTTTAGGAGATCTATTAGGGAAGCCTTAATACCACTTTGCATAACAGAATTCTTTAGAGGCTTATAATTCCATCCTGGAAATTGTATTTCATACATCTGAGGAGTGCATTTAGTAAGATAATTGTATCTTTTTTTAGTTTTGATCCTATGAGCTCAGAGATGATGGAGCTCTCAAAGGCCAGAGCACTTGGGTCATTTCTCTGCGCCTGCGTTTGATTGGAGTTTTTTAGAAAAGACGTGCTTGGATGGTAATGGCAGTTGTGTGACTGTGATAAGTGTTCCCTGGATGCTGGATATCTGGAGTATTTGCTTAGAGCTGTTCAGATTAGGTGCAAGTACTTTCAGAGCCAGTTGTGGCTTCAAGTTGTTTCTTTATGAATCCACAAAGAAAACTTTTTGGTAAGCTTTCCTTGATAGAACCGTTATGATGTAAATAAGTCATGGATTTTTAAAATACTACAGAAAATGAAGGTGGCAGATTGTGTTTCTACATAGACTTTACCTATTGGTTTGGCATGGGATTCTGTTTGATCCTTTTGTCTTTTTATTAACCTTTTAAAAATCTTTATCTCCTGTATATCCACAGCAATCTCATCCTTCTCCCAGCAAAGGTTGTATCATTATCAACAGTTTGCAATGGTAGTCTCTGAAAATAGTTTTTTGACAGCAAGGGCATGACACAGTTGCCTGCAAAGAGGCATCTTGTACTACTGGAGATGTCCCAAGGTAGCCAAAATATCTACACAGGATAGCAGATATGACACAACTTATAAGAGATTTTGGAACTGCAGCTGGAGGCCAAGTGGGATGTTAAAGGACATCTGAAATGTCATTAGACACCTATTGGCAGAGGACAGAATCAAGACCCAGGTTGAAGAACAGCTATTCAATTTCTGCAGAAAACAGAGTGAAGAAGAAAGAAAGTGTCAGTAAGTGACACAGTAGACAGCAATGTATGGCCAAGCTACAAGTGAAACAGAAAGAGATCGAAGGGCCAAAACTTAAATGCCATTCTCTTCACGAGTTATGGCACATTTTCTGGGGGAAGGGCAGAATTTGATTCATGTTTCTCCTTTGACAGCTTAAAAACCACTTGATTTATTCTTAACCCTGTCTTTCATTGTTTATGTACATTATTTAAGTCTGTCCTTTTTCATTCTTGACAAAACAGCATACAAAAAGATTTCAAAATACTACATTCCTAGGGTCAAACTCCTGACACTCTAAAGGTCACGCATCTCTTTGAGGGGATGCAGTGGTATCTTTCTCGTTGTCCTATACTGAATACTCCTTGTGCAGTTACAGAATCTAAAAGGAACCCTCAAAACTGCAGTTGTCTGTGTGTTGTTTATAAGGGTGATCTGTCTTAAAATGCCCTCACTCTTCTACCATATTCTTGACTATAATAGTATTGGCCATTTTTAACAGCTGTCTTGGTTATAAGCTTTCGGACAGGTTCTGAATCATTTGCTTGACAGCACGAAAGCCTTTTTTGAGGTAACTTCTCAGACAGGTTGGGTAAAAAGCTAAGGGTTAGACTGTTTCAATATGGAAGTAGTTTCTGACATCTTCACTGAGGTAGCTAATGTACTCAAAAGTTCCCAAGCAATCAAGACTTCTTGCATTACATTAAATACAATGTTTGGACGGGAGTAGTTCACTCTCACTACTTTACTCTCTCTACAGCTACTAGTCTGCCTCAGTCCCTGTTCTCAGAATTGTCTCTACCAGTTTTTTACTTATTAGATCTGTGTAGGCAGTGTCATAAGAGAGAAGAAGTATGCTATTTACGTAACATTTTCTCAAGTGAATTCTCTATGCAGATTTATACCAGCACCTCAGGTTTACTTTTACCTCAGGTATTTACAGAATGTGACAAAGCTTAGGGAGTTAAGGAGTAGGAGATTTTTCTATGTTTTCTTCCAGAACATAGGAATAGTTGTGAATACTCCTTTAATATCTAACATTTTCTGTGGTTTTTGTTGCTTCGTGGCAGGGAAAGTAATCCCAAAGGGGGGCCTCTTTGGAGGCAGTACATTCAAGGAACAAAATTCACTATGGTAAGTGACTATTCCAAAAGAAATTTTTCCAGTGTCACTTTGTATATTTCAGCAACTACTACTTAATTCGCTTTTAAGAACACAATTATGGAAACATATGGACGTCTAATAGAAGACTAGATCTTGAAACATAAAAAAAAAATAACAAATTAACCAATGAGCTAACAGTGGAAGATGAGCACACAAACAAATTGATTATGTTTGCTACGGTGTTTCACAGAGAAACGCAAATTTGGATTCAGTATTCTTCTCAGGATCATATCAGAAAGATATTTAACCTTGCACTAGTCCATAAATGAAAGCACGTTTGCATTGCTGGTCTTGCTTCTTACAGTGGTGTTATGGGTTTGCATGGCAAGGTTTTTGTAACAGGGGGGCTATAGGGGAGGCTTCTGTGAGAAGCTGAGAGAAGTTTCCCCCACGTCTGATAAAGCCAGTGCCAGCCAGCTCTAAGATGAACCTGCCACTGGCCAAGGCCAAGCCTATCAGCGACGGGGGTAACACCTCTGGGATAACATATTTAAGAAGGGGAAAAAAACTGTGCTAGGAGGCAGCAGTCGAGAGAGAGGAGTGAGATGATGTGAGAGAAACAACTCTACAGACACCAAGGTCAGTGAAAAAGAAGGGGGAGGAGGTGCTCCAGATGCTGGTGCAGAGACTTTTACCCTGTAGCCCATGATGAAGACCTTGGTGAGGCAGGCTGTGCCCCTGCAGTCCACTGAGGTCCATGGTGGAGCAGCTATCCACCTGCAGTCCATGGAGGACCCCACACTGGGGCAGGTGGATGCCTGAAGGAGGCTGTGACCTCGTGGGGAGCCTGCACTAGAACAGGCTCCTGCCAGGACGGACCTGCAGACCCATGGAGAGAAGAGACCATGCTGGAGCAGGC